TGTGTACTAGGGGTGAAGGTCATGTACTGGAGGTGAAGGTTGTGTACTGGGGTGAAGGTTGTGTGCTGGGGTGAAGGTTGTGTACTGGAGGTGAAGGTTGTGTACTAGGGGTGAAGGTCGTGTACTGGAGGTGAAGGTTGTGTACTGGGGTGAAAGTCGTGTGCTGGGGTGAAGGTTGTGTACTGGGATGAAGATTATGTACTGAGGGTGAAGTTCGTGTACTGGAGGTGAAGGTTGTGTACTAGGGGTGAAGGTCATGTACTGAGGGTGAAGGTTGTGTACTGGGGTGAAGGTCGTGTGCTGGGATGAAGATTATGTACTGAGGGTGAAGGTTGTGTGCTGGAGGTGAAGGTCGTGTACTGGGGGTGAAGGTTGTGTACTAGGGGTGAAGATTATGTACTGAGGGTGAAGGTTGTATGCTGGAGGTGAAGGTCGTGTACTTGGGGTGAAGGTCGTGTGCTGATGACTGTGCAAATCACAGTTTCATAGTAACAATATATTCGAAGAACTGATTAACTGCATTATAACTTTTCTGCTACAACAGATATTGATATACATGTCCAAATTTTGTTTAAAACTAATTCTTAAAATTAAATAATTAACAATTAATGTTGTAAAATAGAAGTACAAATAGGAAATACAATTGTACAGTCGTATCAGAAACAAAACAGAAAAGCTCTACTGAAGAGCATTACAGGTATCCTTGAAAACATTGTTAAAAAAACAGAAACATAGCCACTACTTTTGTCGTCTAATGAACTTAAAACATTGAAATCTTTCGGAAAAGCACAGAATTTGTATAACATCACTCATAATGTTCGCAATAAACATTGATAAGTATTTCAAAACTACTGCGTGTTTCATGACAATTTTGTACTACCGGCCTGTGACCTTGAATAAAGATTGAATGAATACATTTTTAACTGGCAACACTCTTCATAATATGGCAGTGATGGGAACCTGTATACACTAAATGTTCAAGTCAGATAAGAATCTCATGATACACACATGCCAAGACTGATTATATAATAATCTTAAGGATATGGTTTGTGGAAAACAGAAGCAAGCAGGAAATCTTATACACTACCCAGGCATCAAGCTATTCCTGTTGTTAAATTAAACAGAAAAACAGAAATATGTGGAGCTATTCTGCCAGTGTGAGGCTGCCCAGGGAAACAATGGCTGATCAAACAAAGCCTGTAGCATGTGGAATTATCAAACATGTTCTAAGATGAGTGTCAAGACATTTGTGGAAAATCTTGAGTTCTGTAAATGCATCAAACATGGGATATAAACTTGAATATCAGGTTGGTGAGTCTCATTTTACAATGAATATACTATCCATTTTGTAAATTTACTTTGAAAGATGGTTCAAGAATCAATGAAGCAGAAGTCTAAAGCAAAACACAAAATATTTTCATGACAACAGACAATATTGCACAGATGGAATCTTGGCACTATCACTTTGGCACAAGTTTACATGTAAAAATGTAGTTGATATTTTACCTCTTTTTGAGGCTTGACACAACGCAAACTGATGAACACCCTTGAGAAATGCATTAAATACTTTCATAAAAAAATCATGACATGTCACAAAAAAAATCAATGCCATTAATCACTTATCCGCCTGTTAGGATTAGCATAAGTAAATTGTAAGTAATGATGAAATAGGCAATATTTGAAATTATGGTTGAACTGCTGACAAGTTTCTTGTAAACATCATAGCCATTATGAAACATGAGCAGATATTTGTCAAAGCTGAAACAAATATGATTACTATAACATTATTTGAGATTATGCACTGTAAGGAGCTGCATAAGGACAAACTCTTTTGGGGACCTACAGATGTTTGCCCTCAAAATTCAGGTCAGTGGGAAAAAATCCCAATTTTAATTATTCATATTTTATTTCCCCTTGTCATAATTCGTTGTTTTTTTAAAAGTTTTTAAGGTTATTTTTCAACAGGATTTAATTATGGTATTTTAAATACTTTATTTATATTGATAGAAACAGTAAATGACTTTGCTTTTTTAATATTTTACTTATTTCTGGTCGTCTGAATAAATACTGCTTTTCATTTTTTTCAAATTACCAATTGTGTTTGAGAATGCAGATTCATAAACCAAATTTTAAAATTTTCTGGCCTAACTAACAATTACTTAAACTGTGGGTATCCAGCCCATACACCTAAAAACATGCAACAAATTCAAACAAAAAAAGTCACTCAACTTGCATATTTGCTTACAAAATATACATCCTACACAGTGGAGATATCTGGAAAGTGTCATCTCTCACACAATGACAACCCATGATAGGCCTCTTGCCTGATGCCAACTGTATCAGAAAATGTGCCTCCAACAAGACAACCCATACTAGGCCTCTTGCCTGAAGCCAACATCAGAAATGTTCCTCAAACATTGACAACCCATAATAGGCCTCTTGCGGATTCTGACTACATCAGGAAAAGTGCCTCTAACAACACAACCTTAATAGGCCTCTTACAAATTCCAACTTGATCAAAAATGTATGTTGAATAATCACTGCTAATGGCAGTATTATGACAGCAGTTAGAGAGCCCAGTCCAAAGGTATCGTTCTTCTCATTTCAGGACATTAAAGCATCCAATCCATTAATCTCCTCTCTAAAAACATCTCATCAAAATACATATCATTCTACCTCTGGCTACTCTCCTCACGCTCTGTACAGATGTATATAATGTGCATATGAAAATGTTTGTGTAAAATATATATCAAATCTTCGAGCTATCTATCTCACGTGGTCATCGCAACATTCCATTCTTGCTGAAAATACACTCTCAAAGCCAATCTATTGTATATAAAACACCTCACAACGGTCACTCAAAGGTCACCATCAACAGTCAACTGTCCCAACTGACCATAGCTACATGTATAATACTTATAGCATGGATGCTAATGCCATATTACAGACTCTATATAAACCAAGACCAAATATGGCATTCTTGTGCTGATCAAATGCCCCTCAAATCTGCATAATCAGGATTCTGACATAATGGCCAGGGCCCCGTTCCTCAAAGCCATCTTAGCGCTACTATGATCGTGCTAAAGTATGGGACTTACGATCACCTTAGCACTAAGATCGCTTTGAGGAACGGGGCCCAGATTTCATTATGATTATCTAGTTAGGAATTAAGGCTGGGATGTCAACCCGGGCACTCGGGTCACATGGGTAGTCATGCGATATATTGTTTATGACAATAACAATAAAATTCCATGGTCACACTAATATTTGCATTTCTTCTGACTATGCACACATTTCTTCTGACTTTTATATGTTTGAGTAAAGATAAAGCTTTAGTCAACTTCCGTGTATGCATGATCAGATCATTTTATACATGTATCTTAATAGTTTTTGTCAGGGCTTCGGTAAAACAGTTCCCAATCTGACAATTTGTACTCTGCCCTTGCGATCTACAGTAGGTCTCCAGTCGGGGTCAGGTAATAGGCAGTTAAGTACCCGGGGAGTAAATATGGACTTGTCCCAGCCCTAATACACATCTATTCACATCTGTAACAGTGTTATAACACTGTGGTCTTCGATTGTAGTGTGGTGGATGTGAAGATCATGCTGTGATGACTACCAGCCATTGCTGTGATATTATCAGCTCAATCAGGTCCACCGGCCGCATCTTCTTCCCAAATGCTTGTCTTCCTCAATCCAAAAACATCTTAGGCCAGATTCCACGAATCGCCGTCTCCACTGTCAAAGAATAAGCTACGAGCCCAAGTCCAGGTTGACTTAATCGTGTCGTATCTTAGCGCCAATCTTACAAAAAACATTTAATGAAAATCCTCTAAGACAACTTAGTTCGTAGATTTTGGTGCTGACTGGAATCTGATTCCTGAAATGCTTTCAAAATCATACAATGCTACAAAATAAATGACAAAAATAAATTATTTTGAGAAGCTAACTCAAAATGGAAAATAATTCCATGAGAATTTCAGATGTAGAAATTATCTTCTATTCAATTGTGGTTTGTCGCCATGAAAATAAGCATCATAACTGATGTTCATATGCATTCCTTGTGATACTGCATCACATGATGACATCATAAAGATAACCGCATCACACAAATGACATGTGTCTGTAGAAAACTGATACATCAACTTCTGTGGAAAGTTATTATCAAATAAAAACCATCCACATCAGATATGTGACCTTGAAAACAAATTTTTCATTTGTCAATCCATCAAGATATTCCCCCTATTGCACAACAGTGTTGGCTGTCCTGACCAACTGGCCTTATAAACACAAACACAGCCACGAGACAGCTTGTTTTCCTGCGGGACACACAGAGACACAGTGAACACTTGTCTAAGATGCAAGTCACACAGAGACACAGTGAACAGTTGTCTACGATGCGAGACACACACAGACACAGTGAACAGTTGTCTACGATGCGAGACACACACAGACACAGTGAACACTTGTCTATGATGTGAGTCACACAGAGACACAGTGAACACTTGTCTACGATGCGAGACACACACAGACACAGTGAACACTTGTCTACGATGCGAGACACACACAGACACAGTGAACACTTGTCTATGATGTGAGTCACACAGAGACACAGTGAACAGTTGTCTACGATGCGAGACACACACAGACACAGTGAACACTTGTCTATGATGTGAGTCACACAGAGACACAGTGAACACTTGTCTACGATGCAAGTCACACAGAGACACAGTGAACAGTTGTCTACGATGCGAGACACACACAGACACAGTGAACACTTGTCTATGATGTGAGTCACACAGAGACACAGTGAACACTTGTCTACGATGCGAGACACACACAGACACAGTGAACACTTGTCTACGATGCGAGACACACACAGACACAGTGAACACTTGTCTATGATGTGAGTCACACAGAGACACAGTGAACACTTGTCTACGATGCGAGACACACACAGACACAGTGAACACTTGTCTACGATGCGAGACACACACAGACACAGTGAACACTTGTCTACGATGCGAGACACACACAGACACAGTGAACACTTGTCTATGATGTGAGTCACACAGAGACACAGTGAACACTTGTCTACGATGCGAGACACACAGAGACACAGTGAACACTTGTCTATGATGCGAGACACACAGAGTCACTCAGGAGACAGAGCATCGACTTGTCTTTACTGTCACACACCCAGAGTGAAGGCTTGCCTCAGCTATGAGCCACAAGGAGGCAAACAATGCTTGTGAGGAGTGAGGCAAGGAGCCATGTTGTGTCCAGTTTGTCAGCAGCACACGGTGCCTGGAGCGCATCCACTTGGACAGGAATTTGTGGCAGCTCTTCATCCGGTGGGCAAGTGATGCCACTCTCCTGGTTAAAAAGGAAAATGAGTTTGAGATATGATTACTGAGAAACCACAGGAATATACCTAATGACCTTATATCTATTATTCACTGTAATGATATTGTAGATTTTGTAATCTTTTGTCATGATGCTTTTCATACATTAGACAAGACTGTTTTTCTTTTGGTCTATGGAGTGTTGGTCCAGAAATTCAAGTCAATAGATTAAAAACATATAAAAATATAAAAACAATATTTAAATTTCAAATATTTCAAAATAAATTAAAAAATCAAAGTGAGGGGAGGAACAGTGTTTTGAATAAAAAATAATATGCCAGGTTTCTTTCAGGACCCACAGACTTTAGAAGCTGCAGTCCTCGACTAAACTCTTCACACTCATTTAAAAAAACAAGACAGCAAGACAAATAATTTGACATTTAATTTACTGCAGGCCATAAAGACCCATACAAAAATAAAACTACGGGCATGACACAAGATCTATCTGCCACGGGCACTTATTTCGAACACTGGACAGGAGTATCTAAAATAGATTTTCAGCAGGTTTTATTTATAGTACTTTAAATGATTTACTCACATTGATAACGACAGTAAACAAATTTGTTTTTTACTTATTTCCTGTCAGCAGAATACGGAACCAAATGCTTTCCTTTTAATTTTTCAGTTTCATTTCAATTGTTTGGAGTCAGCAGATTTGCAAACCAAATTTGAAAGTAATCTGTCCTTCCAAGGAGTTTAGTACTAAAACATCTGCCTTACTTGATTTCCAACTTCTGCTGAGCCAGTACTATAGTGAGCATGATACAAAGTCAAAAAGAAGGATAGAAATGTGACTCACATCACAGACGTGTTGGCAGGTAGGGCACACAATGCTGCCCTTGTGCAGGTAGTTATCGGAGACAAACTCCACATTCAGGACCTGCCCTTGGTGGTAGCAGCGATATGACTTCTTGGCCACCTGTACTATCAGTCCATTGTCACTGCTGCAGTGGAACTGAAACATCAACATAGTATTAGTTAAACAACAAACAAAAAACTGTATACTTGTTTTTCTGACAATTGACTGACAACAGAACTGTCCATATTAATGAGGGTTCACTGTACGCAGCCTACCTGGTAGCATCCGCTGCCGCTGTGCTGGGGGCTGTCCATGGAGTAGCACCGCTGCAGGTACCATCGGTCCGCATGGTTAAAACATTTAGAATCATTGCCATACTTCTCCCCGAAGAAGTTGGATTCAGGCCCTGAGGAGAAACGGTGTGATCATGATCAAGTAGATTCATAACTCTCGCTCCACAATGTGATTTTCATAAGGAAAATCTTATATGTATTGAGCATGTCTAGTGAGTTTAACCCACATCCTAACAGTTTAACAATTTCAGTTGTATCAAATGACAGTTTCATGTGGGAGTAAAACCTGCATCATGACGTACTCACTGACATTGTTCTGGGCAGCTCTACAGCTGCATCATGACAGACTCACTGACATTGTTCTGGGCAGCTCTACAGCTGCATCGTGACAGACTCACTGACATTGTTCTGGGCAGCTCTACAGCTGCATCATGACGGACTCACTGACATTGTTCTGGGCAGCTCTACAGCTGCATCGTGACAGACTCACTGACATTGTTCTGGGCAGCTCTACAGCTGCATCATGACGGACTCACTGACATTGTTCTGGGCAGCTCTACAGCTGCATCATGACGTACTCACTGACATTGTTCTGGGCAGCTCTACAGCTGCATCGTGACGTACTCACTGACATTGTTCTGGGCAGCTCTACAGCTGCATCGTGACAGACTCACTGACATTGTTCTGGGCAGCTCTACAGCTGCATCGTGACGTACTCACTGACATTGTTCTGGGCAGCTCTACAGCTGCATCATGACGTACTCACTGACATTGTTCTGGGCAGCTCTACAGCTGCATCGTGACAGACTCACTGACATTGTTCTGGGCAGCTCTACAGCTGCATCGTGACAGACTCACTGACATTGTTCTGGGCAGCTCTACAGCTGCATCATGACGTACTCACTGACATTGTTCTGGGCAGCTCTACAGCTGCATCATGACGGACTCACTGACATTGTTCTGGGCAGCTCTACAGCTTCATCAAGAGGAACTCACCAACATTGCTATGTGTAGCTCTACAGCTGTATCGTGAAGTACTCACCGACATTGTTCTGGGAAGCTCTACAGCTGGACCCCCGTAGTGATCTATCGCTGCTGGTCCAGGAGAACTCCTGAAACGCATGACTGAGATATAATAAATCATAAACAAAACATCAGGGCCACACTTGGCCAAAGCATTTTACAGATACAAAATGGTATCAAGGATTTGGATAAAAAAAGCCATCGAACAAACATCTATTGTTTCTTGTTTGTCAAGGGTTGGATCTTTGTTGATGATTTTCAAACCCTTAGATTAACATGCAACTCAAACTGTCTACCTCGTCTAGTGGATAGAACATACAAAACAATGTTAAAACATGGTACATGTTGGTACCCTGTAAGGGGGCAAAAAACAAGGAAGGATCTGCTCGGAGTCAGTGTACTGTGTGTGGTATCCCGAGCACTATGAAACCAGCTTTAGTCCGGACACACCCACACCATGTTCATTGCTATATAAGTGCAATATTCTTGAAAGCGATGTCACAGTCCATTTCAGTTCAGCCTCTGCGTACCTATCTTAACCTGGAATATCAACAGGGTACATGCATAAGAAAGATTCTCAATACTGAAGTTATCACCTGTGGAGGCCACACATGCTTCTCATACTGCGAACCACACACTCACCTGCAGATATGGACAATAATCAGCAAGTTTAACTGAGCCTCCGAATCTTTTTACTTCCTGCGTTGCTACACCTTTGAGGTATGAGAAGTACTGAAAACAGAAAATATACAGAATCAATCACTTTTGAAATATCGACAGACCTTTTGAAATACCGACAGACCTGTTTCAAACAATTATATTCCACAAGGTAACACAGAGCCACTGAGTGTCTGTAGTCTGTCACATCATTATTTACCTGGTATCGAGGTTCTAGAGCAGCTTTATACTCCACAAGGTAACACAGAGCCACTGAGTGTCTGTAGTCTGTCACATCATTATTTACCTGGTATCGAGGTTCTAGAGCAGCTTTATACTCCACAAGGTTACACAGAGCCACGGAGTGTCGGTTGTTGGAGCAGTCCGTCCACAGCTCCCCGCGGCGCACCTGCTCACAGTATGGGTAGATGCTTTCATGCCTAGAAACAGAAGTCATGAGGGGAACCTATAGAATGGTTGTCACTGGAAACAATAAAATCAAAACAAGTTTGTTTGTTTGTTTGTTTCATGTTGTTTAATACCACACTCAGCAATATTCCAGCTATATGATGGCGGTCTCTAAAATATTGAGTCTGGACCATATTATCCACTGATTGACATAATGAACATCTATCGACGCAATTAGGATACGATGACGAGCATCAACCAAGTCAGCAAGCCTGACCACCTGATCCGTTTAGTCGCCTCTTTTGACAAGCATAGTCGCCTTTTACGGCAAGCATGGGTTGCTGAAGATCTCTTCTACCCGGACCTTCACGGGTCTCAAAACAAGTAATCAGTTCTATTTTCTGAGCAATGATTAAACTCGGCGAGTTTCTTTCTTAATGTTACGTCAGCTACATGCATAAAATCAACCTAATATACATGTACAGTGGAATCTGTCACAACCAGACTCTGACCCTACTGGACTTCTGTCAATACTCGTCCACACTAATGGACCTGTGTATACCATGTATAATCTGTTAAATATTTATATGCTTTGTCATATTTCCAACTCTTCATCTCCTGAAATAACCTAGTCAAGGGAGATAACTGACAATAAAAGACCTGTTTCCACCCTTGCCGAAATAGGCTGTAGTTATGGAGTTATATTTTGGCTGGACTAACAAGTCTATGCATAGTCAAATAAAAATAGACATCAGTTCGTAAACTGCTGTGCAGATTTCGGTCGATTGCAAGATTTGCAAAGCATGTGTTCTGTCAATTGTAGTACCAACATATATATTCCAAATTGTTTTAATGTTTTTAATCAAGGTGCTCAAGTGATTTGATGAACTTTACAAAAGTAAGACCCATTTTATTACAACAAAGATCTTGATTATCAATCAGATTGTCTTCACTGGGCTCCGCCATTTTGTTTAAAGCAAATGCATGTGATATGAGAGGTGGAATCTGATTGATTGGTCAATAGGAAGGACATAGAAGGGACATAACTCTTAATTGCCACTGGCAGTGCTACGATTGAGCCCAGAAATTCCAGCCTTGTCCAGCAAGGATGGAAACTAGACTTTTACAGTCAGTTAACTCCCATGCCTCGGGATGATGCACCTATTCAGATCTTTGTCTAAACTGGAATTTATTTAACTTTTAGTCCCACAGAAGTCTGGTTTAGACAGATTCCGCTGTGTATTGTTTTCATAAAATTGCAACAAAGAAATTAAGAAATGCTGAATTTGACTGAAAATATGCTATATGATAGTCTTTCTCTTGATTCATTAATCTTTAAATTAATCTGAATGATTTATGCTACTTTAAAAAGGTTAAGGGCCACCAAACTATTTCATATTACTTTCACAGATTAACTATATGAAAGAATGAGGTGGTCCTTAACTTTTTTTTAGTAGCATAACTTGGAACGGGACGGATCGGGATAACGTGGGTTTCACTGGACTACCATCAAGTCATTACCTTTGTTGTTTAATCTCTATCCACTCGTAACAACTTTTCTGTACAAAGTCACAGCCCAAGTTTTTCCCCCATTCGAAATTTCCAGCATTCTCGTACTTGACTTGGTACCATCTGGAACAGAAGTAAAACAATGTGTTAAAACCATCACTGTCACATTCACACTACTCTTGTCGGGTCTTTCAGGGAGAATCTCACCGAGTGTTTAATATCAAGAATATAAACACGTAATGACATATTGATAAACGTTTAAAAATACAAGGCTTGCGGAGGAGCTATAAGCTTTTATCAACGAATGTTGATATATATTTGAAATCAAAGGATACAAGGGTGAGTTTCTATTTATCTTCCAAAATCATTCTTCCTACCTTTTTAGTTTGTAATCACCAGTGTTTTAAGTGTAAAAAGTACATCTATGCAGCTTCATGGGCTGAGAAATTAGTGATGTCATTTGATTGTGACGTCCAGTGTGAACTGACAGATGATGTCACAATGACCTGCAAAGTATTGTGATGCAATTTCATTGTATCGATATCGCCATCAACAATAAATCCAAATATGCCAGAAGTTTCACTTGAAAATGCAGGTTTCAAATTCTGAAACTTCCCTGTTTTAAATACTAAGTGAATATTCACAAATGTGAAAATGCATGTTCTTCAACGGCATAAATGGTACTTTTCTGTAGGACTCTCTTTGTGCACGTTCTCAAACATGGGACAGAAATGGCATCATCATGATCATCTTGGAAAACTATGAAATCATGAGACAATAGATGATGACAGCATGTTACGTTTCCATGACAACTGAATCCCCCAGATAGCCAAATGCAGAGAAAGAAAGAGTTTGTTTGTTTGTTTGTTGTTTAACACCGAACTCAGCAATATTCCAGCTATATGACAGCGGCCTATAAATAATCGAGTCTGGACCAGACAATCCACGCAATTGGGATACGATGACATGCATCAACCAAGTCAGCGAGTCTGACCACCCGATCACGTTTGTCGCCTCTTACGACAAGCTTAGTTGCCTTTTACGGCAAGCATGGGTTGCTGTAGATCTATTCTACCCCGGATCTTCACAGGTCAGAAATATCAGAGAAACATTTCACATAAAACCCTTTATCATATAATGGGCAGGTTTCTCGGCAGGATAAAGCCAACGGATAAAAACGATATCCGTTGGGGTCATATGCGGATAGAGATGCAAATATCAAAGGTCAAGTAGGACTACTTTCACTGTTTAGAAACAAACATGGCGTCGTCCTCGTCACTCGGCGATCGAGTCAAAATTAACCATCGGGAATCTGGATAAACAACAGGGATAATTGCTATCATTATCAAAAGAACAGTCTAATATACTGAAAATCAGTGTCTAACTGTGGCGTAGCTAAGGCATTTTATAAGTTTTGGCTACTTTGGAGGTATAAATTTCGAAACAATTTTGCGAGGGCGCGAGGCCTAGCCAAGCGGGATCAGTAGCCATATCTGTGCTTGTAGACCTTTGCGACTTGAAACCTCCACAAATTAAAATAGTTGGATTTGGCCGAAATATGTTTGAATTGTTACCTTGTTTGGTTTTGTCGCTGTGTGTACATCTGACTACACTTCTTAACGTTATGACAGGACAGACCGACTGTCAACAACGTCTGACCGTGCCCGTGACGTCTCATAGACTAGGGTTAGAGTAGCTTCCCTTTGACAAAGGGCAGTTACTCTAGCGGACAGACCGATGGATTGCCGCGAAAGGCAATTAAAAACAACTGTTGTTTTGCGTATATGTTGCTTCGCCACTGTATAAGAAACAGATTTCAGTTGGAACTATATTGGCTACTGTCACTGTCCGACTGACACATCACTTACCCTCTGACGTAATAAATATTAATGCGCGCATTCCAGGAAAACTCGCAATGTTTCGGTAATGTTTGTGAGAGAGGGATAGCGATTTTAAAGCACAGAATTAAAGAATGACATTATATGATAAAGAGGTTATCACGCTTGTGTGTTTGGGGATGGTAAATATCCTGTATTAGGAATAAACACTATGTATTCCTAATGCAGGATATTTACCATCCCCAAACACACTCGCGTGATAACCTCTATAGACGAATCAGTTTTCGTGTCACTGCGAATAATGAATTCATCCATTTCTAGGTTGTGATGAAATAAAATGCATCCGTTTTGAGCAGCCAGTCAATCTACCATGACTTCTTACAATATGTGCTGCAATTGGTTATATGGAACTATGATCAACCAATCAGAAAGCGTGTTCTGAAGTGTGATCGAAATCTGAACAAAGAAGTAAACAATACAATGTCATTGCTTAGATTGGTCATACTTGTGATATTTAACTTTTTCAAAGCTATATATAGTACTTGTTACAAATATTTTATCAAAATTGACCATTTTAAGGTTGCTGTGCGCAACTGAAGCTATTTTTACACTACTTCATGTAATGAGTGAGTGAGTGAGTGAGTGAGTTGGGTTTAACGCCGCTTTTAACAGTATTCCAGTTAAATCACGGCGTGTCAGCTTGATGTGGGAGGAAAGCCCGAAGTGATGCAGGTCTCAGATGTTTACCACTTCGGTGAAACCCACGAGCACGGGCATGGTGCTGACAAACCTAGAAACATAATCGGGGCGAACTAGGATTTCGAACCCACAATCATAGGTTTCTGGCGTGCCCAAGGGACGCAACTCTGCACAGCAAATCGCAGCGCCCCTTGTTCATGTAATGAGTTGGGCAAGTTTTCCGTACTCCTGATCAAGTCTGGGTGAGGAAATCCAGTGACTGACAGCATCGACAGCAGTGAACAGTGCCAGCCAGGTTCAAGATACAGAATCAGCCAGGTTACACACTGTAAGGACAGGGGCGGTCGGGTAGCCTAGTGGTTAAAGCGTTCGCTCGTCATGCCGAAGACCCGGGTTCGATCCCCGGCATGGGTACAATGGGTGAAGCCCATTGCTGGTGTCCCCTGCCGTGATATTGCTGAAAGCGGCGTAAAACCATACTCACTCACTCACTCACTCACTCACTAACTAACTGAACGGACAAACACTGGAGACCTATCTATCCCTGAATTACACGTACAGTAAACTATGTTTATAACGAATACAGTTATAACGAACTGATGGATATAACAAACTATTTTGGGGCCCTGGCCATTTTCTGTATATATGCTGTATATATGCATATAAAAGTAACTACAGTTATAACAAACTGAAATTAGAGGTCCCTTTGAGCATGTTGAGTTCATTATAACCGTAGTTTACTGTACTTGCAGCTGTCCAGAGTGCACAAACAATGACTTGAATGAAATTGATATGACATGTGTTTCTAAAATCAAAATAAGATATTTAAATTGTTGCACATGCACATGAACCTCGACAGCAGCCTCACCCAGTATCCTCCATCATCGCTAGGGTGATGCGGGAAATCACTGAGTTTTGTGTATATGCTCCGGTCATCGCCTCGTTCTGAAACAAATCATCATCAGGACCAATTCAAACGACTGTACTTGTTGTGTTATTTGATTTAAAGATGATAAAGGCATTTTCCACGGATAAATCTTCAGGTCAACATCTCAAAAGGATAGGTAGAACTCATATTCATTTCAAACTTTTCCTCCTGAAACCAACTAAGACCAGTTTTTGGTTAATGTCATGCGACCTTTGACATTGTTGGAATTGGCTGATGGCTGGTTATTAAACTTGGCCTATCTTGTATGAGAAACTATCTAATCATACAATATGACTACAATCCACCAACTCATGCTTTAAGTTAACATCCGTTTTAATCATTTTTATTTGACTGTTATACTTGGCTGGGTATCGAACATGACCTTACTTTCATTAGAGATTATCCATATACCATTTTGGTGAAAATCCACTGACAAAAGTTGAATATTATAGAAAGAAAACCTAGGCTGTGTAACGAGGCAGCATCGATCACGCACCTCAAACACTCTCTTTTCCCAATGTGTTAGCGCCGTCCCATCAATTCCCTGGTCTTCAAGTTCAGCTCCCTCCAGGGTGGAGCAGTTGAAATGGCGCCTTACCTCTTTCTGAATGACACAGGACATGTCACTGTAAGTATTCCACATGATCCAGTGAGGAAACACGAGCCAAGCTAACTGAGTGGAAAACTATGTTTTGGTGCTAAATGCCGCACACAACAATATTCCTGCTTTATGTTGGCAGCCTGTAAATCATCGAGTCTGGACCAGACAATCCAGTGACTTACATCATGAGCGTCTATCTACTCGATGTCGTGCATTAGTCACCTCTTGCAACAAGCTAATTTTTCTGAAAACCAGTTCTAACCCAGATCTTCCCAGGGAGACAGGCATGGGTTGCTGAAAACCAGTTATAAATAGATCTTCACAGGGAGACAAGCATAGGTTGCTGAAAACCAGTTATAAATAGATCATCACAGGGAGACAAGCATAGGTTGCTGAAGACCAGTCATAACCCAGATCTTCATCGGGAGACAATCCAGTGGTTGATATTATGAGCATAATTCCATACATTGGGTTATGATGACGAGTAATAAACCAAGTAACTGAGCCTTACCACCCAAGCCATCCTAATGCAGGTCCCAGGGTTAATATTGCTCTCTGTTATTTGTTTCACACTCATGAAGATCTTGTTTATAACTAGTTTTCAGCAACCCATGCTTGTCTCCCTGGGACGATCTTGTTTATAATTGGTTTTCAGCAACCCATGCTTGTCTCCCCGTGAATATCTGGGTTAGAACTGGTTTTCAGCAACCCATGCTTGTCTCCCTGTGAAGATCTGGGTTAGAACTTGTTTTCAGCAACCCATGCTTGTCTCCCTGTGAAGATCTATTTATAACTGGTTTTCAGCAACCCATGCTTGTCTCCCTGTGAAGATCTGGGTTAGAACTGGTTTTCAGCAACCAATGCTTGTCTCCCTGTGAAGATCTGGGTTAGAACTGGTTTTCAGCAACCTATGCTTGTCTCCCTGGGAAGATCTGGGTTAGAACTGGTTTTCAGCAACCCATGCTTGTCTCCCTGGGAAGATCTGGGTAAGAACTGGTTTTCAGCAACCTATGCTTGTCTCCCCGTGAAGATCTGGGTTAGAACTGGTTTTCAGCAACCAATGCTTGTCTCCCCGTAAAGATCTGGGTTAGAACTTGTTTTCAGCAACCCATGCTTGTCTCCCTGTGAAGATCTGGGTTAGAACTGGTTTTCAGCAACCCATGCTTGTCTCCCTGTGAAGATCTTGTTTAAAACTGGTTTTCAGCAACCCATGCTTGTCTCCCCGTAAAAATCTGGGTTAGAACTTGTTTTCAGCAACCCATGCTTGTCTCCCCGCGAAGATCTGGGTTAGAACTGGTTTTTAGCAACCCATGCTTGTCTCCCTGTGAAGATCTTGTTTATAATTGGTTTTCAGCAACCCATGCTTGTCTCCCTGTGAAGATCTTGTTTAAAACTGGTTTTCAGCAACCCATGCTTGTCTCCCCGTAAAGATCTGGGTTAGAACTGGTTTTCAGCAACCCATGCTTGTCTCCCTGTGAAGATCTATTTATAACTGGTTTTCAGCAACCTATGCTTGTCTCCCTGTGAAGATCTGGGTTAGAACTGGTTTTCAGCAACCCATGCTTGTCTCCCTGTGAAGATCTTTTTATAACTGGTTTTCAGCAACCTATGCTTGTCTCCCTGTGAAGATCTGGGTTAGAACTGGTTTTCAGCAACCCATGCTTGTCTCCCTGTGAAGATCTATTTATAACTGGTTTTCAGCAACCTATGCTTGTCTCCCTGTGAAGATCTGGGTTAGAACTTGTTTTCAGCAACCCATGCTTGTCTCCCCGTGAAGATCTGGGTTAGAACTGGTTTTCAGCAACCCATGCTTGTCTCCCCGTGAAGATCTGGGTTAGAGCTGGTTTTCAGCAACCCATGCTTGTCTCCCTGGGAAGATCTGGGTTAGAGCTGGTTTTCAGCAACCCATGCTTGTCTCCCTGTGAAGATCTTATTTATAACTGGTTTTCAGCAACCCATGCTTGTCTCCCTGTGAAGATCTTATTTATAACTGGTTTTCAGCAACCCATGCTTGTCTCCCTGGGAAGATCTGGGTTAGAGCTGGTTTTCAGCAACCCATGCTTGTCTCCCCGTGAAGATCTGGGTTAGAGCTGGTTTTCAGCAACCCATGCTTGTCTCCCTGGGAAGATCTGGGTTAGAGCTGGTTTTCAGCAACCCATGCTTGTCTCCCTGGGAAGATCTGGGTTAGAGCTGGTTTTCAGCAACCCATGCTTGTCTCCCTGGGAAGATCTGGGTTAGAACTGGTTTTCAGCAACCCATGCTTGTCTCCCCGTGAAGATCTGGCTTAGAACTGGTTTTCAGCAACCCATGCTTGTCTCCCCGTGAAGATCTGGGTTAGAGCTGGTTTTCAGCAACCCATGCTTGTCTCCCCATGAAGATCTGGGTTAGAGCTGGTTTTCAGCAACCCATGCTTGTCTCCCTGTGAAGATCTTGTTTATAACTGGTTTTCAGCAACCCATGCTTGTCTCCCTGGGAAGATCTTATTTATAACTGGTTTTCAGCAACCCATGCTTGTCTCCCCGTGAAGATCTGGGTTAGAGCTGGTTTTCAGCAACCCATGCTTGTCTCCCTGTGAAGATCTTGTTTATAACTGGTTTTCAGCAACCCATGCTTGTCTCCCCGTGAAGATCTGGGTTAGAACTGGTTTTCAGCAACCCATGCTTGTCTCCCTGTGAAGATCTTATTTATAACTGGTTTTCAGCAACCCATGCTTGTCTCCCTGGGAAGATCTGGGTTAGAACTGGTTTTCAGCAACCCATGCTTGTCTCCCTGGGAAGATCTGGGTTAGAACTGGTTTTCAGCCACCTATGCTTGTCGTAAGAGGTGACTAACGGGATCAGGTGGTCAGGCTCGCTGACTTGGTTGATGTATGTCGTATCCCAATCATGTAGATTGATGCGCATGATGTCAGTCACATGGATTGTCCAGACTTAATTATTTACAGACCTCCGTGAAATAGCTGGAATATTGCTGAGAGAGGCATAAACAGCAAACCAACTAAATTGACATACTGTATCAAGATTTCTGCATCATCTCATTGTGGTGTGATATTGACATGTTGACATCGCAACAATGGTCTACCTTGTCACAGCTCCTACAACACTTACTGTCACTTTGGGCGTAACTATGAATCTAGCATCTTTCTCAAAAGTCCCAGTTTTCAACTTCCAGTTTTTCCGTTTCACTTTTTTCACAACATTTGTGCTCCATACATACATGCCCAGCCTGTTTGAACAAAATAAAACAATTAAATACTTCAAGGAAATTGGTATTTTAGAAATTGGTGAGTAGGTAAGAAAACGTACAACTTTACGGATAACTTCTGGTTTATTGCATATAGCGATATTTTGATGTAGATTCTTAAACTGTTATCAGGGGGGAGTTTTGTTTAACACCGCTTTTAACAGTATTCCAGTTATATCACGGCGTGTCAGCCTAATGTGGGAGGAAAGCTTGAAGTGATGCCGGTCTCAGACGTTTACCACTTCGGTGAAACCCACGAGCACGGGTATGGTGCTGACAAACCTAGAAACATAATCAGGGCAAACCGGAATTCGACTCATAGGTTTCTGGTGTGCACAAGGGATGCAACTCTGCACAGCGAAGTTGTGAAACGGCTTATCACAACATATCCATGACATGTTCCGATAAGCCGCTTCTTACTTCAAGGATTCACAAAGTTAAGTTGTTTGGTGGTCATATTTGAACAAAACATTCACTATCTAAACAAGGTGAGCTGAAACTTCAAGATGAAGAAAAATGAAAATGGCTACTTACTTTCTGTTGAAGCCAAAAGGTTTGCGTGACAAGGGGTTGCGGTCAGTGAGTGGGTCTCCGTTCTGATCTCGGTAGAAGGCGTACAGGCCGGCTGTAAAACCCTGGCACAACAGAGTGAGAACAAGTCATGTGTCTGCAGACACAACATGCCAAGTAACATCAAATCTTCAAAAACTGTATTCAGTAAAACTCATCCAAATATTTCATACAAGAGAAAGATGTGGAGATCATCAAGTCATTGGCATGGAGTAATATTCCTTTGTATGTATATTTTCAATAAAGACCATCCAGAATGCAGGTGAAGCATGCATCACACATTTCATAGATCTGCCTTCCATCACGAAGTGTCAATGTCATGATGGTAACAGGCTCCATGTTGTCATGTCAATGTCATGATGGTAACAGGCTTCATGTTGCCATGTCAATGTCATGATGGTAACAGGCTTCATGTTGTCATGTCAATGTCATGATGGTAACAGGCTCCATGTTGTCATGTCAATGTCATGATGGTAACAGGCTCCATGTTGTCATGTCAATGTCATGATGTAACAGGCTCCATGTTGTCATGTCAATGTCATGATGGTAACATGCTTCATGTTGTCATGTCAATGTCATGATGGTAACAGGCTCCATGTTGTCATATCAATGTCATGATGTAACAGGCTCCATGTTGTCATGTCAATGTCATGATGGTAACAGGCTTCATGTTGTCATGTCAATGTCATGATGGTAACAGGCTTCATGTTGTCATGTCAATGTCATGATGGTAACAGGCTTCATGTTGTCATGTCAATGTCATGATGGTAACAGGCTCCATGTTGTCATGTCAATGCCATGATGGTAACAGGCTCCATGTTGTCATGTCAATGTCATGATGTAACAGGCTCCATGTTGTCATGTCAATGTCATGATGGTAACATGCTTCATGTTGTCATGTCAATGGCATGATGGTAACAGGGTCCATGTTGTCATATTAATTTCATGGTGGTAACAGGCTCCATGTTGTCATGTCAATGTCATGATGGTAACAGGCTCCATGTTGTCATGTCAATGTCATGATGTAACAGGCTCCATGTTGTCATGTCAATGTCATGATGGTAACATGCTTCATGTTGTCATGTCAATGTCATGATGGTAACAGGCTCCATGTTGTCATATCAATGTCATGATGTAACAGGCTCCATGTTGTCATGTCAATGTCATGATGGTAACAGGCTTCATGTTGTCATGTCAATGTCATGATGGTAACAGGCTTCATGTTGTCATGTCAATGTCATGATGGTAACAGGCTTCATGTTGTCATGTCAATGTCATGATGGTAACAGGCTCCATGTTGTCATGTCAATGCCATGATGGTAACAGGCTCCATGTTGTCATGTCAATGTCATGATGTAACAGGCTCCATGTTGTCATGTCAATGTCATGATGGTAACATGCTTCATGTTGTCATGTCAATGGCATGATGGTAACAGGGTCCATGTTGTCATATTAATTTCATGGTGGTAACAGGCTCCATGTTGTCATGTTAATGTCATGATGGTAACAGGCTCCATGTTGTCAACATGACAATGTCATGATGGTAACAGGCTCCATGTTGTCATGTCAATGTCATGATGGTAACAGGCTCCATGTTGTCATGTCAATGTCATGATGGTAACAGGCTTCATGTTGTCATGTCAATGTCATGATGGTAACAGGCTTCATGTTGTCATGTCAATGTCATGATGGTAACAGGCTCCATGTTGTCATGTCAATGTCATGATGTAACAGGCTCCATGTTGTCATGTCAATGTCATGATGGTAACATGCTTCATGTTGTCATGTCAATGTCATGATGGTAACAGGCTCCATGTTGTCATGTCAATGTCATGATGTAACAGGCTCCATGTTGTCATGTCAATGTCATGATGGTAACATGCTTCATGTTGTCATGTCAATGTCATGATGGTAACAGGCTTCATGTTGTCATGTCAATGTCATGATGGTAACAGGCTTCATGTTGTCATGTCAATGTCATGATGGTAACAGGCTCCATGTTGTCATGTCAATGTCATGATGGTAACAGGCTTCATGTTGTCATGTCAATGTCATGATGTAACAGGCTCCATGTTGTCATGCCAATGTCATGATGGTAACAGGCTTCATGTTGTCATGTCAATGTCATGATGGTAACAGGCTTCATGTTGTCATGTCAATGTCATGATGGTAACAGGCTTCAAGTTGTCATGTCAATGTTATGATGGTAACAGGCTTCATGTTGTCATGTCAATGTCATGATGGTAACAGGCTCCATGTTGTCAACATGACAATGTCATACATGCAGAATGTCATGTTTGTGGAGCCTACTAACCAGTGCATGCAGAATGTCATGTATGTGGAGCCTACTAACCAATGCATGCAGAATCTCATGCTTCATGGTAGACAGCAGCTGCATTTTCTCCTGAATCTCCAGAGACAGGGACTTGGGGCAGATGCTGAAGTAGCCAGCTACTGGTCTGAAAATACAAAGTAGGATCACAGACTATGTATACATGTGGAAAGAAAACGTACAACTCTTTCTTTAGTTGGACACAAACAGTTAAGTATGAGAATCTGTACTTTACAAAGAAAGTGTTATCCCAAATACAACATTTGTTATACATAAATTAACAACAATACACCCTATCTCAGGTTCATTGTACGTGTTCTCAATACCACAAACATTAGGGACACTTTCTGCAGCTTCCCATCGGTGAGGCTGTAACCCACCTATCAAGGACTCGCTCCTGCTGGCAGTGCGCTGCGTATGCAATGGTGTTGCCCTGCTTGCACCGCTGGGAGTGCACAGCCGCCACGTACAGGATGAAGTCGGTGTTGTTGACGCCGGCGCCAGACACAGTCTGATGGTCATACAGGTAGGTGGACTGGTCCCAGGAATGGCAACCCTGAAAACAGACGTCCTACCTTTGAAGAAAGCTAGTTGGCAAAAGTCATTTGTATGTCTTCCTTCATGAACTGATATCAGTCGTGTTCAACATGATTATCTCCCTGGCTTCTCCCATTCACAATAATGGGTGACATGGGGACCAAACATGGAGTCACGGGGCCCCTATAAAAAGACATTTCTAACCCCATTTTGAGAATGGAACCAAGGACCTTCTTATATAGACACAACCATGATAACCAACCCATGCTTGCCGTAAAAGGCGACTATGCTTGTCGTAAAAGGCAACTAACGGTATTGGGTGGTCAGGCTCGCTGACTTGGTTGATGCATGTCATCGTATCCCAATAGCGTGGATTGATGCTCATGATATCAATCACTGGATTGTCTGGCCCCGACTCGATTATTTACAGACCGCCGTCATATAGCTGGAATATTGCTGAGTGTGGCGTTAAACAACAAACCAACCAAGAAGAACCGTGTGAAGATTCGGGTCAGAATTGGTCTTCAGCAAACCCATGCATGTCATAAATGGCAACTAACTGGATCGACTAGCTGACTTGGTTGATGCATGTCATCGTATGCCAATAAGTGGTGGGAGGATACACCGATGCATTGGAGGATCGCGATTTTGTACTTCTCGATACAAGCATCAATCACAGTCACTAATCAAAAAATATTGATTCTGACCTTAAATGTTTGCTTTAATAATTGTTCCACTAAACACTGATCAGTAGGGCATGTTAATAGTGAAAACATAAATATTTTCATTTGTTTTGCCATACTTGACACTGCCAACTGTAAATCGTCAGTGTGCCATGTATTCGGCCATCCTGTCTATGAACAAGATGGCTTATGCAACACAGTTGCCATCGAAACTCGAAAAAAATGTTTTTCAAAAATTCCAAACTATCAAAAGGCACCAGTTCACAACTTGGCCTAGCTATGTGCCAAGTTTGGTGAAGAAATATTGAATGTTTTTTCAGATCTGCTCTGGAAACAAGCACTATCGCAATTTCCAGCCTAAGTCAAAGTCGAAAAAATACAAACTATCAAAAGGCTCCAGTTCACCATTAGACCTATCTATGTGCCAAGTTTGGTGAAGAAATATTGTACGGTTTACAAGATGTGCTCCGGAATGACATCTTGCATGGACGTACAGACGGTGTCCATTTGAATACCCCCCTGCAAACCGCATCGCGGGGAATAATAAGGTAGACTAGATATTTGACAATGCAACCCACCTCAAGGTGTTCCTCTGGGATGATGATGTCCCCACACACTGTCTGACTGGCACAGCCCCCCACACAGTACACCCTCGTGTCATTGTACCGCACTCGCTGGCTGTGGCACTGCCTGGCAATAAATACAACACAAGAATTTTTAATAACACTGCGATCTAACAGCCACTGCGATGTAACAGCCACTGCAATGTAACAGCCACTGTGATGTAACAGCCACTGTGATGTAACAGCCACTGCAATGTAACAGCCACTGTGATGTAACAGCCACTGCGATGTAACAGCCACTGCGATGTAACAGCCACTGTGATGTAACAGCCACAGCGATGTAACAGCCACTGCGATGTAACAGCCACTGCGATGTAACAGCCACTGTGATGTAACAGCCACTGCGATGTAATAGCCACTACAATGTAACAACCACTGTGATGTAACAGCCACTGCAATGTAACAGCCAGTGTGATGTAACAGCCACTGTGATGTAACAGCCACTGTGATGTAACAGCCACTGCAATGTAACAGCCACTGTGATGTAACAGCCACTGCGATGTAACAGCCACTACAATGTAACAGCCACTGTGATGTAACAGCCACTGCGATGTAACAGCCACTGCGATGTAACAGCCGCTGCGATGTAACAGCCGCTGCGATGTAACAGCCACTGCGATGTAACAGCCACTGTGATGTAACAGCCACTGCGATGTAATAGCCACTGCGATGTAACAGCCACTGTGATGTAACAGCCACTGCGATGTAATAGCCGCTGCGATGTAACAGCCACAGGTTGTGTGTATTGTACATATGATGTGCTATTGCCCTTGTGGCCACATATACATCACAAACGACAACATATTGCTAATACTTCCACCATAGTCAGAGAGTAAGGCCAGATCTTTCCATTTTTGTTTTATGGATGCATCAAGCCAGCAACGCTTCATATTCCCTAACCCTTAGGCTCAAGTTTCAACAAATTACCAATCTTACTGTACGTCATTTACGAAAGCAAAGCTCAAGTTTCAACAAATTATCAATCTTACTGTACGTCATTCATGAAAGCAAAGCTCAAGTTTCAACAAATTACCAATCTTACTGTACGTCATTCACGAAAGCAAAGCTCAAGTTTCAACAAATTACCAATCTTACTGTACGTCATTCACGAAAGCAAAGCTCAAGTTTCAACAAATTACCAATCTTACTGTACGTCATTCACAAAAGCAAAGCTCAAGTTTCAACAAATTATCAATCTTACTGTACGTCATTCACAAAAGCAAAACTCAAGTTTCAACAAATTACCAATCTTACTGTACGTCATTCATGAAAGCAAAGCTCAAGTTTCAACAAATTACCAATCTTACTGTACGTCATTCACGAAAGCAAAGCTCAAGTTTCAACAAATTATCAATCTTACTGTACGTCATTCACGAAAGCAAAGCTCAAGTTTCAACAAATTATCAATCTTACTGTACGTCATTCACGAAAGCAAAGCTCAAGTTTCAACAAATTACCAATCTTACTGTACGTCATTCATGAAAGCAAAGCTCAAGTTTCAACAAATTACCAATCTTACTGTACGTCATTCACGAAAGCAAAGCTCAAGTTTCAACAAATTATCAATCTTACTGTACGTCATTCACAAAAGCAAAGCTCAAGTTTCAACAAATTACCAATCTTACTGTACGTCATTCATGAAAGCAAAGCTCAAGTTTCAACAAATTACCAATCTTACTGTACGTCATTCACGAAAGCAAAGCTCAAGTTTCAACAAATTACCAATCTTACTGTACGTCATTCACGAAAGCAAAGCTCAAGTTTCAACAAATTACCAATCTTACTGTACGTCATTCACGAAAGCAAAGCTCAAGTTTCAACAAATTACCAATCTTACTGTACGTCATTCACGAAAGCAAAGCTCAAGTTTCAACAAATTACCAATCTTACTGTACGTCATTCACGAAAGCAAAGCTCAAGTTTCAACAAATTATCAATCTTACTGTACGTCATTCACAAAAGCAAAGCTCAAGTTTCCACAAATTACCAATCTTACTGTACGTCATTCACGAAAGCAAAGCTCAAGTTTCAACAAATTACCAATCTTACTGTACGTCATTCACGAAAGCAAAGCTCAAGTTTCAACAAATTACCAATCTTACTGTACGTCATTCACGAAAGCAAAGCTCAAGTTTCAACAAATTACCAATCTTACTGTACGTCATTCACGAAAGCAAAGCTCAAGTTTCAACAAATTACCAATCTTACTGTACGTCATTCACGAAAGCAAAGCTCATGTTTCAACAAAATACCAATCTTACTGTACATCATTCATGCCCTATACAATAATCAGCTTACTTCCTCAAACGTATCGGAGCACCAGTTCCTCTCACTTTCAGAGTGTCCTGCCAGAACTGAACTGCCTCAACGACGGTCTCCTGCAACAGACACGATCATTTCCCATGTATACTAGACCACAGAAATCTGAAGTTGTGAATTACCGGGTAAATACAATTTGATGTCTTTTTGACTATTGAATACCCCCCTCTATACTTCTATTCAGAAATAGGGGTTTGTTTGATGGTAAATAAAGTAAATAAGACAACAATTTTTGTAATTTTAAAATATTTATTCAGAAATTCAGATTCCTATGAATAGACATAGAGGTCTGGTATAGACGAATGTCTAAACTAAACTAATCTTTCCAATGAGATTGTTGAGATTTGTGAATTTCCTTATTACAGATTCAAAGATACAGAGTTATGTCCCCTTGCATAAATAGAGTAAAGCGCCTTCCCTGTGCATGACACCTTCGTCACACTCTCGGTAACATCGCTGCTGCCAGTGTGGAAGTGGCCATTACAAGAATCTTGAATCTAATCCGTATGTTTATGTTTTTGTTCATATCTTTGAGAATGCCATCATATTGAATTTTGAAAAGGTTTACGACTGACCGCATTTCCCACCCAGATGGTGGCAAAATTTGCGAGAAAATCGCCAAACTTCTACCTTACATTCACACTATGCCAACGAAATAAAAATTAAAACTGACAAACAAAATTTAGCTAGGGTTGGAGTATTTGGTGTGATGGCAGTCATCACTTGATTGTACACATAACGGTCAGTCGGTTACGAGTTTAACTCCACGCATGGTTGCAAAACATTTGGAGCAGCATATACAATTTCTGTTTTTAGAAAATGAACCTGAACTGACAGTTCCAAATATAAATAATAAAGGCACATTTCTAATGCTGTGGATATTTTATACACCCTGTTGTTTTTGTTTGTTGTTGTTGAACGCCTCACTCAGCAATATTCCAGCTATATGACGGCGGTCTGTTAATAATCAAGTCTGGACCAGACAATCCAGTGATTGACATCATGAGCATCGATCCACAAAATTGGGATACGATGACATGCATCCACCAAGTCAGTGAGCCTAACTACGAGATCCAGATGGTGGCAAAATTTGCGAGAAAATCGCCAAACTTCTACCTTACATTCACACTATGCCATTACATGTTCGTTGAAACGAAATAAAAATTAAAACTGACAAACAAAATTTAGCTAGGGTTGGAGTATTTGGTGTGATGGCAGTCATCACTTGATTGTACACATAACGGTCAGTCGGTTACGAGTTTAACTCCACGCATGGTTGTAGTCACCTATCGCAGTAGGGAGCTAGGGCTGGTGGCAGCGACAGTATAGAGCTTCACGAAAGGGCTATCACTGTTACTTGTTCAGTGTTGTTAGGAGCTTGAAAAGTTGCTGCATATAGTTTTAATAAGCACCCCTTTTGTCAATTATCTGAGCACCCACAGTGCTTATCACGATCAATACTGTACTAATACATTTGATCTAGTTATCACGGAAGGTAAATTACGAAATATGATGCTTCACAGACATAGCTTTGGGTTGATGTGTGAAAAACACAATTTGCTTACCTGCACTAGTTTCCTGAGCTTGTCTGGCAGTTCCCGTAGGCTGTCATCGTAATGAAGGTGGATCCTAAGAGGCTGGTCCACGCTGCGCTTTCTCAACACATGGCCTGGTTCGATGTTCACGTCATAAAACACCTGGCAATGGAACACAATTCATGTATTGAGATGGAGAGCTTTCTAATCAGACAATTAGCAAGGCAGCTTCTAAATTCCTCGCCCAAGTGAGCAAAACATTTGGAGCAGCATATACAATTTCTGTTTTTAGAAAATGAACCTGAACTGACAGTTCCAAATATAAATAATAAAGGCACATTTCTAATGCTGTGGATATTTTATACACCCTGTTGTTTTTGTTTGTTGTTGTTTAACGCCTCACTCAGCAATATTCCAGCTATATGACGGCGGTCTGTTAATAATCAAGTCTGGACCAGACAATCCAGTGATTGACATCATGAGCATCGATCCACAAAATTGGGATACGATGACATGCATCCACCAAGTCAGTGAGCCTAACTACGAGATCCCGTAAGTCGCCTCTTAAGACAAGCATAGTTACCTTTCACAGCAAGCATGGGTTGCTTGTTTTTGAGTGCCATGTCATCTACACCAAACAGGAAGTACAATCAAAGGAATATCTGAGTTCTGTGTGGGTTTTCATTTGTTGCACATGTTAAAAGTAAAATGAAGTGGTGAAGAAATGAAGACAAATTGTTTTAGAAAACTGACATCCGATTGGCAGAAGAACCTGCAAATCCTTAATGTAGATTTGCTCAGGAATATGTTTCATCCTTCTACAAAGGGGTTATCAGACTTTCATGCAGAGTAAGTGAGTGTGTGAGTGAGTTGGGTTTAACACCGCTATTTAATGTGGGAGGGAAGCCCGAAGTGATGCAGGTCTCAGACATTTACCACTTTGGTGAAACCCATGAGCACGGGTACGGTGCTGACAAACCTAGAAACATCATTGGGGCGAACTGGAATTCGAACCCACCATCATAGGTTTCTGGCGTGCCCAAGGGACGCAACTCTGGGCAGCAAATCGTGGCTCCTTAGACGACTGGGCCGCCCATGCCCCCCGTGCAGAGTAAGTATATCAGAGTAAAAGATATGATTTTCAGGAGATTGGTAGTACTGTGTATCTCATCTATTGAATCTGTACATGAACGTCGCTTTAGACATTCATGCCATTGAAAAATATATTTAATTGAATACATTGAGTCCGTCAACATGGTCAAGAAGTTCACATTCCTTGAAGTTAATTGTATTTTCATGATAAGTTCACAAACTATGTGTAAATTTGTATCATATCTAACTGATGTAATGACATTTGTCAATGTAGCGTGTTTATATAGTTTCATCCTCTGTTTATTGAATACTACCGTAATCAACGTAATAAGCGCACAGGGCGCTCTCAAAATTAGAAATAGGGGGCTCTTTAATTGCCCATAATTAAGGGTGCATAAAACATACGAGTGCGTATTGTACACGAATTAATAAGTCTTGTGAACATTGATCAATCGGTAGGGGTGCTAACTGGGATTGTTCACTAGCCAATAAATTAGCAAATACCGCCGTGGGCGCTTATTACGTCGAATACGGTATATTGTTTCCATTACATGTATCAATAAACACTTTTATGTGGCAGTGGAGATTGTTGTAAGTGTATATGTGGTAGGGCTGTGACGGGTAACTAGGACGGGTAACAGTTATGTTAGGTCTTTAGTGATCTGGTCCAGCCACAGCTTGGCCAGTGATTGCCTATCCGATTGTTTCTGTAGCATGTGACCAGATGTTTAGCTTTAAACACTTCAATATTTCTCTTCTCTGGTCACTGCTGCATTACAACTCTGCATAATTCACAGCACTGCATTGATTGGGGTAAGTTAATTTAGACTTCTTTAGTATTCATATTTAGCATAAGGAGGTTAGGATTTGATAATTTAATCTTGTTAAGTATGCTTTTATCATTTTAATTGCATATTTGTTATATCGTGTAATTTGCAGTATGATCCACATGATACACAACGTTGTAAATATATTACTTATTCTTCAAAGTCATGATACATTAGTGTGTATTGTGATATTAAGTCATTGCTAGAGTAACCAATCAGAATATATTGTAATTAGCATGATTAGTGTTAAGCAACCATATTGTTATAAGGCAGATAAGGTGCTTTCAGTAATTTATATAGTTGGAGGCTTGTACATGTTGTAGCTGTATCTATTGATTGGTTTCCTGACTGAAAAGTCTGAATTCATGCTTCTTTCCAACATTATTCCAGATTCAAGAACCGAGACAGACATTTCAAGACATTCAACAGTGATTATTTAAAAACAATTAACAAAGCCACTGCTCGGGAAACAAGAGGAATACAAGTCAGTACTCAGATCATAAAGTGGTCATCATTGGTAAGAACTGCACCAAGTTCATGCAAAGTACATTGGTTCATAACATGCTAAATGCTTGTATTTGTTTGTTTGTTTATTGCTTAACGCCACACTCAGCAATATTCCAGCTATATGACAGCAGTATGTAAATAATCGAATCTGGACCACACAATCCAGTGATTAACATCACGAGCATCGATCCATGCAATTGGGATTGATTTAAATGCTTGTAATGTTTGTGTGCAAGTATAACATGAATAAACCCCCAAATACTTGCATTAGTTTGTTCTATTCTGATTTCTGAAAAAGTATGTTTGTTAACAAACAAGAGAAAAGTCCGGTCACTTGATATGCAAATTAGACTGTGTCAGTGGTGTTATGCTAAGTCACCACTGCGCCGGAGTGTAACCAAATTCATGAAAAGTACATTGGTTCATCACATGCTGAATGCTTATAATGTTTGTGTACAAGTATAACAGGAATAACTTACAAATTCACCAGCAAATTCAATTCAAACCATGTTAACATTACCAAAGTAAATCAGTCAGGTTTCAGTCTATTTGAATGTTTGATTGAATGTTTTCATGTGTAATAGAAAGAAGAGTGAACATGTCAATGTAAGTTTGAATGTCGTATTACTATTAGCCTAAACTGTTTTCGTATGTTTCATGCTTTTGTAATGACAGATATATATTGATTTACTAATATAGCAACGTTAAGGTTGCATTTTGTTTACACAGATTTTAGATATGCTGGTCATATCTGGCTTTGCAGCTCTGGTGACCTCTGCATCCCATAAACAGGGAATGAAATACTTTGAATATGTATTCATGTCATACTGTGCAGCACATCTATTGAATTGGACATGCATGTTGCATTAAGACGTTCTTGCCTATGTACTTGATGTATTATATTTATTTGATTTGTATATAGTTGGTCAATCAGGAGTTATTGCCCCTTGTAATTAACTGTGGTGATCATAAGCTTTCTAATTTGTGTACATCTAACTGTAATGACATGTTTTAAATCACTGTGTATATTGTATGTCCGTGTATCTAATGTTAATATTGTTTCATTTTTGCATTAAACATTTGCACCAAATAACCAGTGTCCTGTACCATAAGTTTATATCCACCTACCAACCCAGTTACATTACAGTAAGCAAGAAAATTAAAGAAAGTAAAAGATAATGATTGTTCCTGTCTCTGGATACGTGTGGACATTATGATTATGTGAGGTGAGATGTTTGGTAGCAAGACAGGTGGGGAAGAGTATCTTACAATTAATTATAAATGCCTTGTCTCATGATTTAAAAAGAGCATATTTTTAACATGTGGGTCAGATATCAGCTGAATCAAAGACGTATATACACATGATACAATCTATCTATGTCTTTGGCTGAATATTGCATAGTGTTGTATCTAAGAGGAACTGTATTTGTGACTGAACTTCCTGGTATAGATTTTGTCTTATCTGCAGTAATGTGATGATTAACCTTATGTCATATGAGGTTATGACCATGTGTCCACTATTATTATACATATTTGTCATGATTGAGTGTGAATGTTGGAGTATACTGAAATTGAGATTGAATCTTGAACCAACCTCGTGCTGGTGAGTAGATGAGGCTGAATGGCCACATGTCTGATGGTTCAAGGGTACGACATGACAGCAGTACCGAGCTGTCAAACACCACAACACTGTCAGTGTCAAATGCCACGATCTCTTCTGTAATTCATCCATTATAAATGACAGTTGTCCGACGTAGACTATAGCTTCTCATGTCCATCAAAACCCAACGCCATACTAAATCACAAGGATTCAAGTACACGCTGTAAAACACTAACCATTCTCATACCACTAACAAATTCGATAAGGCTTGGATACCAAATACAAACGGTATCAGGTTCCAATTCATCAACCAGTTAAAGTTTCGTCTGTACTCTGGAATTCAGTGAGAATACGCGCTTCTTAACATGACGATCAAAGTTAACACCTATGCATATGTTCAAACGCCTATTATTGTCGGCTCTGTGGTTGGTTTAGCGGTATTTCAATGGAATCATAACACATTATGAGCGACGATGATTCACTAGCTCAGATCCATCAACATTCCTGACAAAGGAAGTTCAGCCCCGGAAGTGCTCTTTAGTCAGCTGAGAGCACATTTATCACAAACCTGGAGTTACTTCCCCTTGACAACATCTTTGACAAAGTCTGCAATATTCTTAGAGAAGTAATACAAATTACGATACATATATTGCTTTTCCTATATAAATAATTTGTACATAATGAAAGTTTATTCAGCTGTTTTGAATAGAAGCGGGGTATAAAGGCTTTAATTGCAAGAGTGTAGGAGGAAATGTGGTAAAATGTCCGGAAAACCAAAATACTTCCTTTTATTTATTCTTACAAAAGGTGGGATGTAGGGAAATGTTCTGCTTTGGGGAAAATGTCCATGTGGGGAATTGTCCAATATGGGGAAAATGTGCATTTGGGGAAAATGCCCATGTGGGGAGTTGTCCGGACTCAAATACTTGAGGTGGAAACTGAATGCGATCGTAAACATAGCCACATTGTGTTTGACGAGTGGATAACGTAATACGAATACAGTACATGTATACTATATTCCTTAATATTTGGACATTTTCATTTTTCAAGAAAGTGCGAATACATTCTTTTTCACATCTTACGGTTCCATTAAACCGCTTTTCAGATTCTTGCTGTTTGGAAGCTGGCATACTGGCAATAAAATTCCGAAAACTCACTGTTTGAAAATGTTTTTTTTCTGTTTTTCTTTCTCCTTTTCACTATTTACAGTATAAGCACGAAAACACGCGCACACACACACACACACACACACACACACACACCACCAACTCATTTTATGTCATTGTGTTTTGCACATTGAAATAGGTATTTTCAAGTAACAGGCTCTGTTCGACGTTTATCAATAATTCTACTTCATATTATTTACAAACCGGATGTAGACAGTTGAAGAATGTGCGAAGATAACCTAGCAAACTATGTGGCTTTTCCATAATCCCTTTCATTTTATCATGACAAGGTGTGTACTGGACACACAGCACATATTGTTTTACGAGGGCTGTCATGTAACCTGCCTCTGCAGGGATTACACGTGCTAGAGCCTGTGATGTACTTGCCGACCACCCAGACCACAGACAAGGTGGACAGTATAAAATTAGGCAACTTGCGAAAGTGTATGGTGAGATATTAGGGGTATAACATAACATGGTGACAGATAGCCCTTGCCCTCTTCTGGAAAATATCTCAGTATTAATTATCCACAGCATCTCAAACAAAATACATCAGCCAAACATATCAGTGGCACAAATCACGTGTTGACCTTTCCCGACGGGATTATCGTCGTCCAAATAGGCTTACATGTGGATAAGGGGGCACGAATGGCCCAGTCGTCTGAGGCGCCGCGATTCGCTGTACAGAGTTGCGTCCCTTGGGCATGCCAGAAACCCATGATTGTTGGTTCGAATCCCGCTTCGCCCCGATTATGTTTCTAGGTTGTCAGCACCATACCCGTGCTCGTGGGTTTCACCGAAGAGGTAAACGCCTAAGACCTGCATCACTTGGGGCTTTCCTCCCACATTAAACTGACACGCGTGATATAACTGGAATAATGTTAAAAGCGGCGTTAATCCCAACTCACTCACTACATGTGGATAAAGATTTGTAGATGTCTCAGACGACTGTATATCCATAATCCGATCTAAAACGATTAACATTTCCTAAACTGGTGTTGTATATACGAAGTCGAAACTTTGGTAAATCCGTGAACAAGTACTATCTATCTGGCAGTTGTTGCTTGTGTTTCACAGTTGTGGAAAATAAAAGCAATGACACAAATGAATCATGAACAGAAAGTCAACTGATGCTGTCATGGTATCACCACGGAAAGATCAGACTGGAGAAAAGGTGAAGGTCAGGGGTGTCACGTGGTTCTCCTATGGATGCAGTCAAGAGGTCGATCCCATAACTGGAGTTGCAACAACAACCTCTCATCCGTCTCGGGTGTGGTGCAAGTATACACATCCCGAATTGGAGCCATGGTAAAAAAAGTTAATTCTTGAGAAAAGGTGCTGGACAAAAGTATCACACAAGATCACACAAGATTACACAAGATTGCCTTTGAAAGTTGCAAAGGATAAGGGTCTGATAACACATCGATATAAAGACCTCCTGTCGCCCTGTGTGATACAATGCTATCACCTACCACACGAGGGGCGGGGGAACATTACAGAGCAGCTAAAAAACCAGATGAAGTTGTTTGCAATGACTATTTGGATTAAGCTGCCATGAAATAGAAAATCCAATGAAGTGTAAGCAAGAAGTGACATATTATGCTATACAAGGCTGCAATAAGAAAGGAAAGAGCCACTTCGTGACGCTTTTCGACTAGGTCATGTTGACACTGCATAGCTGACAGATGAGGTCTTTAAGGGTGTAGGAAATATTAATGACACGTGGATGCGTCTGATGACATATATTTACAATAGCTGTTACCCATATGAAAAATGGGCTGTTCCCACTCATACCCCAGTTGTCAGATACTGTACTATACAAAAAGGACGACAGAGATGAATTTATACTGCATTTTATGATTTTATTTACTTCATGTATTTCAGCACACACACGGGTATAAATAAAAAAGCACTCATCGCCAGTCATCAAAACATAAAAATATAACTTCAGAAGACTCACAAGGTTAGTGTCTACATTAGGGTCAGCCGAGCTTCCCAACAGCGTCCAAATATTGCAATGGAGTCTTGATACCTTGCTCCAATTGTTCCTTCAGTCTTCTAACACGGTTGCTGACCTCGCGACAGATTCTGTTATGAGGAGGAGGGTCAGCACCAAAGTCAAACTGTACGACCTTTATAGGGTCAGCTTTCTCCATTTATTTTCATCAGCTCGATGAGGCGAAATATGTTGGGATGTCGTCTTGAAAGACTGGCATTTAGACGACAGCTGAAGCCCCCGAGGCAGTTCTTGGTCCTTGGTCCGAATGTCTCGTTGTGATTCCACAACGGTATGTGAAACAAAGAGTCATCATTTACCCTGTTAGTAACATCGTAATCGTTGAACCTCACAGAAGACGGCACATCAGGACACGTATTCATGGCATCTATCCACACGTCTTGGACTTCATAAATAGGAAGAAGGGGGTAAAGCAGAGGCACGACGGACCCATTTCTGGACCTCTGGATCCTCCCGACAATTGTGGTCTAGTTCAAGGACCTGGACCTTTCGCCATGTAGCTTGTACATAGTGGAAAAAGCAACCCTTCACTTCTGAATCAGGGAACTCGATCTGGACAGCCCCGAAAGCTGCCATCTCAAAATCTGTCTGGATGTTTTCTGGAGACAAATGTTGGTTTAGGAAGCCCTGAACATGGATCTTGAGAAGCCTGCGGTATGAAGCAGAAGTGAGACTGGGTATCAGGGGATATACTAAAGGGTAGGATGAGGATCCAACTCTAGCATGGAGAATGTACAGCTGGTTCCACACGTCAGGAGCGGTGAATGTCCCATCTATGTAGACGCCTGGCGCCGACTGGAGAGATCGCAGCTGTGCAGCAGTCGAAAGGACAACCATCCTGCCATCATCACCATTAGAATACAACAAGAGCCTCTCACCGTCCAGTGTTTCTGTCCACATCTTTCCAGTTCAACCTCAGCTAGGGTCAGCGGCAATCTTGGAATGGTGTGGCTTCTGTGTCTGTAAAGGGCGCTGTCAAGGGTGAAGTAGGATGGAAGTGAAGGTGTGCCCTGCTGTCAGTACTGTAGAACTTCATCCGACCGCCTCCGTGGTCTAGTGGTGGTGTTTCCGCCCGGAGAGCGGAAGGTCCTGGGTTCGATCCTCGACCGCGTCATACCAAAAGACGTTAAAAGATGGTACTTGTTGTGACCATGTCTGGCGCTCGACATTAAGGGGTTAAAACAAGGACTGGTCGGCTCCGGGTCAGTATAATGTATCCGAGTAGGGTATTCATGTTAAACTGCGGTATGGTATCTCAGTGGGCTGGCACTATAAATCGGAATCAGTCCGGGATAGTACAAGCAGAGCACACACACACACACACACACACACACACACACACGTACATGCACATCGCTGCATAAGTGCAATCATCTTGGACGCGACGTTAAACCCAATTTCACCTCACCTCACCTCGAACTTCATCCTTGCAGAGGGCAATCCTGCCATTATAGTGACAGTTTTAAAACTTGTGAAAATATGTAAATACAGACACATTGGGATGAGACCTTAGTGTCATTATTTAAATCTCACAGGTATTCACGTCTCCATGTGGTAAGTTTATTCGTATCTGAGTAGATAAAGGTCCTTAGTTATTTGGTCTTTCCAACTCGGGGTAATGTCTGATAGGACTGATCCATTACCACAACAGGTAAGCCTCACATGTTCTGATACGCCATCCCTAATAAACCTTTAGTTGTTAAACTATTTTTTGGGTGTACACATTACTTCCAGTATTGTTCTTCCAAAACAATATTAATCTTTCCAAGCAATGTCAAATATGAAAAGAAACACTATATAGAATGAATAACATTGTTAATGTAAACCGGTCTGTAGTTAGCACATATTTCTTGTTTCTTGTTGACGGGAGTCATTCTTTTTTTGTGAAATGCTTAAATTAAAGTGATCAATATTTACTTTTAGCAAGCTAGTCAAAATTGGCGAATATGTAGTGAGTGAGTTGGGTTTAATGCCACTTTTAACTGTATTCCAGGTATATAAGGGTGTGTCAGCTCAATGTGGAAGAAAGCCCGAAGTGATGCGGGTCTCAGACATTTACCAAAGTCTTTGTGAAACCAACGAGCACGGGAAACACCTAGAAACATAATTGGAGCGAATCGGAATTCCAACGCACAAGCACAATCGTGAATTTCAGGCCTGCACAAGGGACGCAACTCTGCACAGCGAATTGCAGCGCCTGAGACGAGGAGACCACCCGTGCCCTCTAACATGTAGTGAGAACCAGGATGAAACATATTATGGGAATAAAATCAAGGTCATGTCCTGAGTTAGCCCTGTTGTTATAGGGTGACACTTTCATTCATCCATTTATA